TCTTCTCTTGCTTTGTGTGCTACATGGAGGGAGTGTGGCGACTTGAACTGCCGCACAAATGTGCAAAGTTCTATGTCGACAACAGACCGATAGCGCGACCACTTTGCAGTGTCTTCTTCGATGAGTTACTGCCTCATCTTCAACCTACTCTACGAGTTAGCTCGCCTTGTAACCAGAAGGTCTTGAGTTGGAATCCCGGTTGGTGCGTACTGATGAAAAGTCCCAAACTAGGACGAAACAACTGTCCAGTACTCCCAGGTTTTCCAGTGGTTCTCTAACTGATGTCATCTCATGATGAAGTCTTCCATCCAATCAAACTAAATCCCTACAAAACCAATGCTTGAGCATCATAATTCACATGCACTGCTACCACAACTACGCAAATTGATATTCTCGATTGTGGTAATCCCACTGTACTAAGTAGTTGGGTGGTTTTAAAATCTATAAATGTCCTAGTTGCTGAATGGTCAACGAGCTCACCTTGTAACATGTACGTTCTGGATACGTTATGCCAAAGAGTTCCATGCTAGGACAAAAACAGATATTCAGCACTACCCGATCTCCAGTGGTTTTCTAAATGCTATAGTGCATCAGTAGTGGTTCAGCAGTGGAATCGCTTGGGATTCGATTCCCGGTTGACGAATTCCTAAACCTTACCTAGTTAGTTTACTAACTGGTGGTAAGTCTAGGAAGGAGAGGAGGTTGGGTGTGATTCTGGCAAGTCCACTCTGTAAAACAACATCACTATTGAAACTTCATAGCACAAGCTTTAATCCCACTCGAAACGCTAAGGGACGAAATTTTAGTAAAATTGGGAATACTACTCATGAGTAGCTGAAAATTTCTTTTTCATATTTTCTTCACATGTTTTGTTTCACTAGTTTACTACAATTTGACTAAAAACAGTGAATTATCACAAAGAAGTAATTCTTTACGGTCGTAATATATCGTGTAGTATTTACCACAGGTTATTTCGCTATCTTCTTGTGTATCATCATAAATGTTACGAGACATCAATTCGGTGGCTTTTTTAAAATTGCTTATGCATAATTTCACAGACGAGAAATTTCTTTGGATGTCTATGCTGCTGCTGCTGCTGGATTCAACATAGAACTTGGCACCGAAGTGTAGCAGTTCGAGTTGCCACGTTCCAAATACCACACAAAGGTAGACAGAAAAATGAGAGAAGAGAATCAATAAAATTTAGATAAGTATAAGAGTGAAACAGAATGAGTAATGGTAGAAAGGAATATGAAGGTTAAAGAGACTGAATACATCTGCGGAAGCCATTGACAACGATTTTGAGCCATGTCACCTATTGTCTCCAGCCATTGATTCTTAGAGTCCCGAGGGTGGGCCCCAACCCGGAAGTCTGCATCTCCCTCCCTACCTGACTCAGTTTAACTGTCAGGGATTTCATGGATTGATGAGGCCATGTTTTTGTTTGGCCACCACTTACTCTTTTCCAACCTGCATATATATATATATATATCAGCTAGTAATGCCAGTCGGGGGAGGTGATGGTTAGGCATGCGCAGCACGTGACCTAGCCATCTCAATCTATGTAACTTTATAGCCTCTTCGGTTGATTTTCCCTCTTTGCCCAACACTCGACGCCTAACGTCAACATTACTTGCCTTATTATGCCACCTAACGTGAGAAAGAGATCGTAGACATCTATGATCAAAAACAGACAATCTCTTCATGTCTTCCGCTCTCAATGACCACGTCTCACCGCCATAGAGAAGGACGGAGCGAACTGCTGAGCAGTATACACATGTCTATGTTTAATGGTTACCCACCCATTGGTGACAGTGAATTCAAAGGCAGCCTCCACCTTCCTACGTGGCTGGCTTTAACCAACTGCCATAGATTTTGTAGAATTATGCCAAGTTTTGGTTTGAGCCTTTCTTCCTCCCCTAACTCTTGTCCGTCGAAAAAGTCAATGGCTCGCCATGAGCAACACGCATGTTCTAGCTTTTTTATTCGATTCATTCTCACAATGTTCATCCTTTGACTTAACCTCCTTGTCGATCACTCTACACCTAACCTCAATATTGTTCATCATATGATACCACTTAACACGGGGTGAAAAACATCTAGCGCCATTCTTCAAAGCCATAAAGGAGGACGGAGTGAACTGGTGGGCAGTACACATTGCCTTTGATTGGTGGTAGTTGAATGTCTACGTCATGGAATAACATAATTTGTCAAATGCCACATGAAGCTTTTTTTAATCTGTGCTGAGACTTCGTCAACTTTCGGTTCGTCGGGTGCTGGTGCAACTTTCTAGATGAGTGCGGGTGGGGGGTCTACGTGCTCTACTACTTCACTCCCCATCTTTAACCTAGGAGTCGGTGCAGTCCAGTCTTGCAGAATCGTCTTGCATATGACAGGAGCAAAATGCGTGCCGAACATTTAAACGTGCTTAGAAGATCCTGCATTTTGTCAGCGTCTGCACCTAGGAAGACAATATCACCCATACACTCTAAGTAGGCAAGACTACTCCCGATAACAAGCTAGTCTTTGGATCACTTAAGTCAGTCGGAGTCAATTACATTAGTACATGTATAATGAAATTAAACAAAAATGAGGACACGGGGCATCCGTGACGCGGACATCACTGGTTATTATCACTTTAGATGACAACTCTGCATAAACGCTTACACGACTGTTTGAGTTCAAGAGGAGTGCCTTGACTAAATGCGATAAACTCTTTCGGAATTCGCTTCGCGTTCAAACATTTCCACAACACCTCTCAGCTGGCGGAATCGAATACCACCTTCCGGCCACGAACTATGGCAAGTGTTGTACACCGGTAAAGTATGACGATATCCCAGAATCTTTCGAAGGGTGATTATATGATCAATACACACCCTCTTCCTGATCTAAAGCCTGTTTCTCCCAAGCACAACTTAATCTACGTATGAGTATTGAACTTAGAACTTTAGATATCATATTAGCCAAGCTTATCACCTTATGATTATCACTGAAAGACGTAACTCCAGATTTTAGCGTGGTGACCACATTGCAAACTAGATTGGCAGAATTCAGTCTGTACTAACTCAAGGACTAGACGCATCATGAGCATTGGTTACTATCTAGTAACCAATCAAAGTATCCATTACATTCCTACGGGAGATCCATAATCATGAGCCTGGGTAGCTCGGAAGTAACGCCTATAACTGCAGCTCTGGGTAACATAAATTCGAATCTCAGAGCTCATTCAGTATTGTAGATACGCCTTTCTGATTGACTGGTTAGTACTAACAAGTACGACGCCTTGGCGAAGCAGGGCTTCCTCTCGATTACTTTCAATCATCTAAATGTGAAATGCTTGAATACGAGTATGCCATGAATTTTTGCATGCGCACACTGGTGCTACGAAGGTGTCAGTGTGTTCAAACAGATGCACCTACTTTCAATAATAGTGAAGTTGATAGAACAAAGAATAAATTGATTAACTGACTGACTAGTTTCAACATAGAACTTTCCACCGATGTGCAGCAGCTCGAGTCGCCACACTCCCTCCATGTAGCACACAAAGCCAGAGAAGAAGAAGAAAGTAAAACGAAACGTAAAATAGTGACAGTAAACAGAGATATGAGGCAAAAAGAATAGTAATATCGAAGAATAATATAGTTTTATTAGATATTATAAGTCACAAGGAGTGGATGCATCTGCGCCAGCCATTGACAAGGATTTCGAGCCATATAACCAATTGTCTTCAGCCATTGGTTTTTACTGTCCTTAGGAACTCAACCAATCAGTCAAGAAGTTTACATCTGCATACGTGAATGGCTGGCTTGAACTAACTATTATGGATTTGATTGACTGATGAAGCCATGTTTTGGTTTGACCACCACTGGCTCTTTCCCAACCTGAACCTATGTCAGCTAACATTGCCCATTGTGGAGGAAGGCGATGGCTAGGCGGGTATGCGTAACACATGTCCCAACCATCTCAGTCGATGTAACTTGACAGCCTCGTCGATTGATTTCCCCTCCTGCCTACCTAGCACTCACTGGACGGATGCCTAACCTCAATATTATTCACCTTATTATACCACTTCACACGTGAGATAGAATGCCGGCACCTATGATCAAAGACAGCTAGTCCTTTCTTGTCTTGGCTGATGGATTGTTATTATTATTATTGATAGTACGTAACTAAGCTGTCAATATTCGGATCTTTTTTGACGTGTATATAGCTATGAATTGTACATGTCACGTTTTACCGTTGATATGTCGTTGTGACATAATTCTGATGATTGTAATGTAATGAGTGTGAAATTGTGTTTATCGGCATTTCTTATAATGATTAACTGACTAATTTCCACACGAAAATTACTGTCCTTATCTTATTCTAAAGTCATTTATGGATTATACTATTGATTACCATTATAAATACTGTATCATTTTAGTAACCGACTTCATTACAAGTTGACATCAGTTACAGAACCATTTGGAAACCACCAAGAGTAGTGGGCAACTGTTTCGTCCTGGTTTCGTACTCTTCTGAGATACGCACCCACATCCCGAGGTTTTAACTGAGAATCTTTCGGTTACAAGGCGAGCTCTTAGATAGATCATTCAGGCACTGGGATCCGATCCGACGACCGACTATGAATTCCAGCTTCTGTCAATTATTGATTGGTTGATTGGTCTACGAGCTCTCGTTGCAGTATAGGGAAAGTTCTGGGTTCGAACCTCGGCGGGTGCTTACTGTTAGAGAGTCTCAAACTTGTAGGACAAAACAACTGTATTAAGCACTCTCTGGTGGCTTCCCACTAGTTCCCTAGCAACCGATGTCAACTCGTGGTCGAACCGACAAACAATCGGAATGTCTTTGCAAATCACCAGCTTCTAGTAAGTTAACATTAAATAAGTGAATAATACTGGTTACGTGTACGTGGCATTAGTTGTATGCGTGTATGTGTCTGTCTATTGAGGTCCCCGGCCCTCCCCCTAAAATTGCGTTCTTTTTACATTTACTTGTAGAATTTAAACAACGGTGGCGAGCAGTAAGTGTCGAGGGGGTGCATGAAACAAAAATAGAAGAATATTTAAAACGTAATGGTATTTCCTCTATGTCCGGTGATCGTAAAAGCTTTGTAAGTTTATTTTCCCTATAAATTTCATTTTTTATTTTGTGATAAATTACTTTAAATTACATCTTCTGTGCTTTGTAGTTGTTCAGCGGTAGACTACTCCCCAATTACGAGACTACTCACAGGCTCCGGAGTTTGATCCCCGGCGGATACATTCCTATACCTCAATTAGCCGGTACTAAGCACAGGGAAAAAAAGAGAGAAGGCTAACAGCTCCACGTGAAAGATAACAGCAATAAGTAGCACAGGAAAAGAGCTAAATGATGAAATAAAACAGATAGAAGAGGCTTTGGTGTTAAATAACTAACTATCCTATAAAATTCATTAGGAAGATTGAAGAAGGCCAAAAGCAGAATAAAAATAATTGTGAAACTAGTAATGGTAACATAAATAAGAAAGAATATGAGGCATCTACTGTTATACCATATAAGGAGGGGACATCTGAAACACTCCTTACGTAGGATTCTCAATAAAGCAGGAATTAGGGTGGCATTCAAACCTATAAACTCACTCAGGTAGGACAAGCTCTGTAGGTTGAAGGACCCTGTAGGTTGACTCAATTAAACAAAATAATATAATTTACAAAATACCCTTCAATGACTGTGAGGTCAACTATATAGGTTAAACTAGTAGGTCAGGGGTAATCAGATTGTTGGAACATAAGAATTTAGCTAAGGTTAGAATGATTGACCCCGAGAAGATTTAGAAAAAATTTAGAAGAAAGCTCAGCACTTGCGATGCATGCATTAACACACAATAGGGTGGGAGATCGTTAAGATTCTAAGAAGTAATCTATGTAGGTGGAGAGCGAAGGAGATGGATTACTGAATCCTACCTGGTTCATCTAGTCTAGACCCAACACATGCAACAGAAATGACTCAATGCAAATGCCAGAGATATGTATGGAAGATATTATTACCAGCAGTCAGTCAAATCAGAGAAGGATAATAAATAATCTCAAAATTCTATTTCAATTCACACATTATAACTTTCTGACAAGTTACTTATTTATTTTACTATAAAAACACTCGTCTTATTTCCCATCTGATTGTAATTGATCAATAACACTCATATTATTATTATTTCTGAATGTACATTATCCTATATTACTGATTTTATTCAAATATCTAATCATCAATTTTTACTCATGCATATAAATGAAGGAAAAAGTTGTGTGAGTAGTGTCTTGATATGATTATGAGGGGTAATAGTTTGTGCTCGAAACGTGGTCATCAGTTAATATTACTGTATAACACTACTGTGTGATTTATCAAAATGAAATCTTATCCATAATACCCTGCCGCTACTGAAAGATCAAAGCTCAAGAAGAAGAAGGTTGCACCACTTGTCTTCCACTTGTAGCGCTAAGTTCTTGGTTGGTTTGTCCCCAGATCTCCCTGTGTTGCTTATTCTTTTTGCTTATCTGATGATCTTCAGTATATGAAGTCAGCCAGTGGTGCTGTTGTTGATTAAAAATCTGCAGCAGGCTCTCAGAAATGCCTTTTGTGACGTGAGTGGCGAATCTCTAAGCCACATTATACCTAAGCACTGACTAATTTAACATTCATAAAACCCTCAGAAATTTAAGCTGTAAATAAACGAATCAAAAAACTTCTTTTTTGTTGTATGCAAAGACACTAGGATTGTTCACTCGAATTAATTCCCATTGCTTCGGCTATACATAAAAAGGGAGTGGGGAGTTCTAATTCCGTTCGAAAGACTCGGTGGAATGCGATAGATAACTTTGAAGTCACTCACTACTTCTGTCCACTTGGTAACCACCACTATCGCCAATCAAATGAGTCGAAATAGAACTTTTTATAGATTTTATTTAGCCTTATCCTCTGAACCATGAAGAAAGGTGGTCATTAACACATTGTTCGTCTTATTTGGCTTTCTCTGCAGGAGTAGCCAAATTTAGTGGGGACACGTGGCAAGTGAAGTCCTACATCTAAGATTATTGAAAGCCGTGAAACGCACTTATACTGCCGTCACCATCCTTTGTTTGTCATTTTCCAGCTGCCGACCAATTATGATTGCTCAAGCGAAAGACAAGCTAACTAGTTGTGCCACTTTTATGTGTTTCTACAAATTTAGTTGTTCTTGCGGAGAAAGCTCTATAGGGTGAACAGCGTATTAATGAGCATCTTCCTTCATGGTTCAGTGGGAAAGGCCAAATAAAATCTATAAGAAGTTCTAGTTTGACTCATTTAATTGGCGATAGTGGTGGTCACCAAGTGGACAGAAGTAGTGAGTGTGACTTCAAGGTTATTTATCGCATTCCATCGAACTTTTCAAATGAAATTCGAATCCACCTTTTACACATAACCGAAGAAGCAATGGGAATTCATTCGAGTGAACAATCCTAGTGTCTTTGCATACAACAAAAGGAGTTTGTTCTACCTTTGTCTCTCCCTTGCTTAGCCTAGGTGAATTGTATTCAAAACCCTCCCACCCTTTCTTATTTTTCCATATCCTTCGTACTTTTATGATATTTATTTAAACTCTGATTTTCCATCCGCTTCACCTTTAGTATGACGCAACTTTTAAGATTTGACCTAATTTATTTATTGAACTGTCTACATGTACAAACATGACTGTCTTCGTTATTCTTATCGCCACCTGCATAAACCTTATTATCAATATTTTCTTATCATTATAATCATCGTTATTAATGACGTTCAAAACATTTACCACATTATTATTATTGTTATTATTTGATCCACAAACTCACCGTCAGTGGTTAAATTGCTTTATATATGAATCCATATAAATTAGAGTTAAGCCTGAAGATCTAATTGAAAATAGCAATATTGTTCTTAGACGGTTGGAGGCGATTCGCAGAAAGCCTCGCTTGACCTAAGTTTCGTGCTAGTTAGCACTCATCAGTCAGTTAGCAAGGCGTACCTGCAACCTTGAAGGAACAGCTCATATCCCTCCTGAGATTTGGCCGCGGGTTCGAGTCTCTTCAAGGTTGCAGATACGCCTTGCTAACTGACTGGCGAATGCCAACTAGCACGAAACCTAGGTCTCAGAAATGCTTCCTGCCGATTGCCTCCAACCATCTAATATCATATAGTCAATATGCACGGTGATGGCGGCTACCTAGAATGGTGACCACAGTGAAAACCTGACTGATAGAATTCATATATAAAAGACAAAATAATTGAGCAAACAAGAATATCCTTTTCGATAATTTCCTCTTCTGGCTCTACAATTATATATGCATATGTTTATATACATAGAATATTCTAGATTAGTAGTCAATAACAATATTAGTGTTTTTTAAATAATAATATAGATTTGTTAAGTAAGATCACAATGGAATCACCACAGTTCATTAAAGATGCTTAAATAATAATAATAATAATAATAATAATAATAATAATAATAAAGATAATTATAGCAAATAGAATATCCACTACAAATTGGGGATCATTCAAACCTAGATGGCCAAGATAAAGACAATGTCTGAACTAACTTCCTTTGGACGCACAAATTAGGGTTCTTAATATGGATCCGAACAGCCTCAGCAATATTTAGTAAACGAACCCTTGAGGCGAACGTAAGATTAGTTGGTATGCAGTAAATGACCCTGAAAGCCGCCTGGTTAACATCAATCTTGTGTTCTGTATCCACGAGATGAGTGAGATAGAATAGCGCTATGTGAATAGATTTTGTTTGTCCTTTACTTAACCAACCAGGCAAGGTGATGTTCGGAAATCTAACGAGAAACACGCCTAATTGTACGGCCTATGCAACTAACTGGCTTCACAGGAATTCAGTCTGCACCGAAGAAGGGACTAGGCATACACATCACACTAGTTACTGACTAGTGCCCAGTCAAATTGAGCAATATTCTTCGCTTATATGTCTTGTTCTAATATTATTAATGGGAATATTTAAACATTTCGGAATCAAAAACTATCCAATAAGATTATTATGTTACCAGTACTAATTAATATATTTTGAATGAAATCAATCAATAAAAATTGATTAGTGAATATAATTGATTTTCTTAATTGTTTGTTTATTTATTATTTTTATTTTGTTTTTTACACTTTTGAAAAGACACCAGTACAACGAAAGAAACCCGGTCAAAAACGTGCTTCAAATCGTCCAGTGCATTTTAAAGACAATGAACATGTCAATGGGATTTTAGAGGATTTTTCAGAGAAATTAGCTAAAACTTCTTAATTATTCTGCCACCTCCTCTTCTTTTTCTCTGAATGAATAATTGTAAATACACTTTCTTGTATCTGTGTTAGTGTGTGTGTGTGTGTGTGTGTACAGTGGTGAGTAACATTCATGTTTCTTTCTCTTCTTTGTATGTTATGAGCTGTTCTCTAGTGTACACAAGTAACTGTGTGTGTTTGTATGTGCATGTGTCTATTTTGTCAAGATTGCCTGCTTGCATAAACACATGCACACATACACGCACGCACGCACGCACGCACACACCAAAACATTCTCTATGTTGTATGTTTTAGCGCTGATATGTGATAGAATAATAAATATTTGGATATATTTTTTTTTAATGCCCCTGAATTTTCTCTCATATCATCACGTTGTCATGTTGTTCAGATGAATTGATCAGAAGCTGGCAACATCTGATTTACAATTGGTTTCAGCATACAGAACTTTGCACAGATTCTGCAGCAGTTCGAGTCCCCCACTCTCCCTCCGTGTAGCTCACACAAAGCAAGAGAAGAGATTAGGTAAAGAGATATAATAATCAGAAGTGTGAGGGAGGTAAAATCGGTCGGTCGGTCGGTTTTCGACATAGAACTTTGCACAGATGTGCGGCAGTTCAAGTCGCCACACTCCCTCCATTTGGCACACAAAGCAAGAGAAGAAAGTAGAAGAACTGCATAATATAGACAGTAAACAGAGGTGTGAGACAAAGGAATAGTAATAGCGGAGAACGAAACAGTTTCATTGGAAATCATAAGTCACAAGGAGTGGATGCATCTGCACCAGCCATTGAGAACAATGAGTTTGAGCCATGTCACGAATTGTTTCCAACCATTGGTTTTTACCATCCCGAGGACCCCAACCAGGAAGTCTACACCTTCCTACGTGGCTTAGACTAACTGTTGTGGATTTCATTGACTGATGAAGCCATGTTTTGGTTTGACCACCGCTAGCTCTTTTCCAGCCTGACCCTATATAAGCTAACATCGCCCCTCAGTCGAGGAAGGCGATGACAAGGCATATATTCGTAACACATATCCTAACCATCTCAGTACATGTAATTTAACAGTTTCGTCGATTGATTTCCCCGCCTTACCTAGCACTCGACGCCTAACCTGAATGTTGCTCACCTTATTATACCACTTCACGCGGGAGACAGAACACAGACACCTATGATCGAACACAGATAATCTTTTCATATCTTCTGCTCTCAATGGCCAGGTCTCACAGCTAGCCATAAAGGAGGACGGAGCGGACTGTTGAGCAGTACACACGCACTTTGGTCGATAGTCCGATATCGACTCTACGCCAGAGACGGCGTAAACTGGCATATGCGAACCTAGCCCTCTGTATTCGTGCTGAGATTTAGTCAGAGATCAACCCGTTGGGACCGGCTGATGCAATTTCCCAAATAAGTGAAGCGGTCAACGTGCTCTACCACTTCACTCCCTATTTCTAAACTAGGAGTCAGTGTGGTCCAGTCCTGTAACATCATCTTACATTTGACAGCGGGAGCGAATCGCATGCCAAACATTCGTAGATTGCAGCTCAAGGTGTTCAGAAGACTCGGCTGGATTTTGTCAGCGTCCTCGCCTAGAAGGACTTTATCGTCCGCATATTCTAAGTCAACGAGATTACACTCTGGTGGTAGCAAGTCAATCCCTGAGTCGCTGAAGTGTGTTAGGGTTAAGTCCATTAGTACATCTATGATGAAGTTGAATAGAAATGGGGATAATAGGCATCCCTGACGGATGCCACTAGTCGCCACCACTTCAGATGACAACTCGCCGTGAGCCCTCACCTGGCTGCGTGAGTACGAGTAGAGTGCCTTGATCAGTGCAATGTATTTTCTCGGCATTCCCTTTACAGCCAAGCATCGCCAGAGAACCTCTCGGTCGACAGAATCGAATGCCGCCTTTAGGTCAAGAAAAATAATGATTGTCGGACGCCGGTAGAAATGCCTATGTTCTAGAATCTGTCGAAGGGTGAAGATATGGTCAATACACCCTCTACCTGGCCTAAAACCTGCCTGGTTTTCTCGTGTTTGTGCCTCCCGAGCACCACTTAGTCTACGCAGTATTATTGAGCCTAGGATTTTAGATACTATATTAGTCAAGCTAATCCCTCTGTGATTATCACAAGAAGACTTGTCTCCCTTCTTGTATATCGGGATGATCAGTGACTTACACCAACCCAATGGTACTTCCTCTGATTCCCAGACGCTGCCTAGGACCTCAGTTAATGCAGATAGTAAACTGTCTCCACCGTACTTAAATACTTCTGGAGTCAATCCATCAGGTCCCGCTGCTTTGCCTTGCTTCAGATTAGTGGCAACTTTAGTAACCTCAGTTAAGGACGGAGGACCTGTGTCTACATCCAATTCAGGGAGGCTTTGGATGTCCGGCAGGCTAAGTGTGGCTGTGGGCCAATTAAACTGCTCCTCATAGTGTTCTTTCCAGCTCTCCAGTCGTCTATCCTGGGAGCTAATTATGGTTCCATTTTTCTCAGAGATTGTTTCGCTTATCATTTGCCTTTTACCACCTGTTTCCCTTATAAGCCTGAATAGTTGTCTGGTGTTGCCTATCGCCGATGCTTTTTCCATCTCTTTCGCCTTTGTCAGCCACCACTGTTCACGGTCCTTGCGGAGACTTTTCGTAAGTTTCCTTTTGTGCAGCTTTCCCTCCTCATTGAATTCGGAGCTCGCCGGAATAAGTCTTCTAGCATCTATCAGTTCGGATGAGGCAGTCGAAATCCAATGGTTTTTACTCACCTTTGGATTTACCTTATTCACAGCTTTTACAGCTGTATCTATGGCTGACTGAATATTCTTCCAGTCAGCCATAGAGGGAGGTAAAAAGAATAGTGATATGGAAGAAAAATATCATTTTATTGGAAATCATTAGTCACAAGGAGTGGATGCATCTGCACCAGTCATCGAGAACGATTTTGAGCCATATCACCGATTCTCTCCAGCGCGCATTGGTTCTTGCTGTCCCAAGGTCCCCCAACAAGTCAGGAAGTCTACACCTCCCTATGTAACTGGCTGGCCTGCTTAAACTAACTGTTATGGATTTCATTGACTGACGAAGCCATGTTTTCGTTTGACTGCCACTAGGACTAGCTCTTTTCCGACCTGATCCATCCGCTGTCAGCTAACACTGCCCGTCGGTTGAGGAGGGTGATGGCTAGACATGCGTAACACATGTCCTAACCATCTCAATCGATATAAGTTCACAGCTTCGTCTATCGTTTTCCCCTCCCACCTACCTAGCACTCACTGGACGGATGCCTAACCTCAGTATTGCTCACCTTATTATGCCACTTCACACGGGAGATAGAACGCAGACACCTATGATCAAAGACAGCTAATCTTTTCATGTCTTCCACTTTCAATGGCCAGGTCTCACAGCTAACCATAAAGGAGGACGTAGTGGACTGATGAGCAGTACACCCGCCCTTTGGTCGACAGCCAGCCAGCCGGATATCACGTCTACTAAGCCAAAGATGGAGTAAGTTGGTTCTCATATGCGAAACGAGCCTTCTGTATATCCGTGCTGAGATTTCGTCAGAGATCAACCCGTTGGGACCGGCTGATGCAATTTCCCAAATAAGTGAAGCGGTCAACGTGCTCTACCACTTCACTCCCTATTTCTAAACTAGGAGTCAGTGTGGTCCAGTCCTGTAACATCATCTTACATTTGACAGCGGGAGCGAATCGCATGCCAAACATTCGTAGATTGCAGCTCAAGGTGTTCAGAAGACTCGGCTGGATTTTGTCAGCGTCCTCGCCTAGAAGGACTTTATCGTCCGCATATTCTAAGTCAACGAGATTACACTCTGGTGGTAGCAAGTCAATCCCTGAGTCGCTGAAGTGTGTTAGGGTTAAGTCCATTAGTACATCTATGATGAAGTTGAATAGAAATGGGGATAATAGGCATCCCTGACGGATGCCACTAGTCGCCACCACTTCAGATGACAACTCGCCGTGAGCCCTCACCTGGCTGCGTGAGTACGAGTAGAGTGCCTTGATCAGTGCAATGTATTTTCTCGGCATTCCCTTTACAGCCAAGCATCGCCAGAGAACCTCTCAGTCGACAGAATCGAATGCCGCCTTTATGTCAAGAAAAATAGTAGTTTTTGAACTGTCTGTGTGTTCATCTGCTAACTGCCATTTGTTATTATTTAATGCTATCATGTACACTTCGATGGTCACTTCAGTGGGGAGGTGGGAGACCGAATTCAGGGGTCATCTCGAAATCGCTGAGAAGTGAAGGATTTAAGACAAAGTAGAGAGGATTGTCAGTCAAATTATCCTATTGTCTTCAGCAGGCTGTTGCTATTTCACACCAAGTACCCGATAGGTGACATCTAACCGTCATGGAAAGTATAATACAACAAGTAACTTCTGGGGATCATTATGACTATTCACAATGCAGTTTATGATAAAATAAATAAATAACCGGTGAATTGAACTCAAGTATCTCGTCTCATGGGTGGGTACTACACGTAGCATTCTTGACCCATATTGCCGACGCACCACCAATGACGCATAACGAAATTTAAGACAATGAAATTTCAGAAAGTTCTGGTGTATTCCAAAGACCCATATCGATGTACGTCCGAAAACAAACCTCAACAACTTAAGTACATGCATTTGAAGAGGTCAAAGCTGACATTATCTCACTAGTACGGAAATGGTCGAGATCATCAGTTCAGCATGTGTCAGGTGATTCAAAGACTCAGTGCCCCACTGAGTCAATCTAAGGAAAAATAATACGTCCATCCCAAATAAGCTTCACAATGCTCCTAATTTAACTACCGAAAATCAACTAAGGGAAATTGATGGGCCCTGAAGGCATTTTGGGCATCTGATCTGGAGGTTCACTCAGAAGCTGTCTGTCCACACAGGTGTAACTTGTCTTTAACCAAATTCAGTGAATTGAAAATGCTGTCTAGGTGATGAATGACAGCCATCCTGTTCGAGTAAACTCGTAATACTGTGGTGAGAGCTGGCTGCCAGCCAAATTTGGTAGACAGTAATTGACGTCAATGTTTATGTCCCCAATATTGTTGGTGAGAAAATGAGAACAAAGGCTTTGCGTAGGCGGATACAGTTAGCATATGGATGATCTGACACAGCCACAAAGAGATGCAAGGTTAACTTTCTGTGAGAAACAACTAATCAAAAGACTGTATTTTCTACTAACAATAATCTACAATAATGTACATTAAAATCTATAAATATGTGTTGATTTTCCTTAATAAACGATCTGTTGCCTGGCCCTTGTCTTCTGTTGTTAC